AGCACCCTCCAAAATGTTGACTCAATATGTGAACTCTTTGTGACAATTAAAAACCAATTTATCTTAAAGCTGGGGAGGAGGGATCTTAAATAAATGATTGCTCTGAACCCTGGGAGAACCTGTCCTCAACTTTTGTGCCAAAAGCAGTGCCATCTTGTGGGCCAAGCATGGAACAGGATTTTAGGGTGACAACAGCGACTTCCTTGCATTTCTACTTGTAGCCCCCTTAACCTGTGGGGATTGCCCCAGAGAGCAAATCTATGTGATGGACACCATGCGGCACCAGAAATAGTGACTCAAGGCTAAGGTGTGGCTAATAATCCAGGGTTGTGTGTCGGGCTCTCTCTCCAGTGAGCTGGTTCTTTCCTGGGGACCTGTGGATCCCTGCAGGCCCACCCCACCGGTCTGTGCCCAGAAATGTTAAACCCTAGAAGTGAACGCAGCTTCACAAGGAGGAATCCTTGCTCTAATTGATGCCTCATTATATTTGGTTTTCCAAATAAAATTTCTTAAATTAATACTTTTGTCTCAAGATTTAAAAGTATTTTCAAGGCAACAGTGTTTCCGTAGCACCATATACACAGCTCTGTTGGGATTCTGTACTGGTTAGGGAGATGCCAAGCTGCTGTAACAAAGAGACCTAGAAATACAGTGACGTAAAGAGCCTAGTAATGTTTCTCTCTCTCCCCTATGAGCCCAGGGGTGAATAGCCCAGGTTGACAGGGCAGCTCCGCTCTAGGTGGTTGTTCAGGGACACAGGCTCCTTACACTTTGTTTCTCTCTCCTCCCCCAGGACGGCAGTTCCCATCTCTCCTGAGCATCAGAATCACCCGAAGGGCTGTTAAACCACTTCCCACTCCCAATATTCAGTGGATCTGAGTGGGGCCCGAGAATTTGCCTTTCTGACAAGCTCCCAGGTGGCACTGATGCTGCTGGTCCAGGGACTGCACTTAGAGAACCACTGCCCAGGGCCCTGTCCTTGCCTGCCCTTGTTGAGGTTAAGTGGCAGACACAGCCACGTTCCAGATTATGGGATGGGGAAAGAGCCTGGAGGAGCACACAAATAGTGTTTTAACGCCCAGGCCAGGAAGTGGCACTCATCATTTTCACTCAGTTTCTGTTGGTAAGAAATTAGTCGCAAGGCCACACCTAGCTGCAAAGGATGCTGGGGAAAGTCTAGCTTGTTGGCCACATGCCCTGCCACAATTATATTATGATGAGAAAGGGGGAGAGTGGATTCTGTTGGACAACCAGCCCCACATACACCTATCGCACTATGTCCAGTACTTAGGTATTCATCTTCTCCCTCAGAACCTGAGCTCTGTGAGTGCAGGCAAGTCTCATTCCTCCTATGGCCTCAGAATCTCTCAGGGAAACCAACATAGCTGCTTCAGTCCAGGTCAAGTTCTTTGGTAATAAACGCACTTAGAACTGTGTCCCTCCGTTCGTAAGAGTACATTCATCAGCACGATTATTTGAACAATGTGTGACACCCCCAGTGGACTGTAAGCTCCATGAGAACAGAGACATGACTCTTGTTCCTCAAGGCCCAGCACCATGCCCTCAGCAAATATGTGTGACTTCAGGCCGTGACACTTCATCACCAGGAGCTCAATTAGCTCCATTTAAGCACTGAAACAAACAGCAGCCGTAGATAATTAGCGTCGCTGCGCTGAAGCCTGAGTCTGTTCTTCATACATACATGCGTCACGTTCGTATAGACATGGACTGTTGGCACTGGAGACACAGACAGTGTGCCTCTGCCCTCGAGGGGCTCCTAGTCAGCCGGAGGCCGTGTGGTGGATCTTCCCAGGCCCTCACGATGACACCATGGCATTTTGTTTAGTGTATTTTCTTTAGGGAAAAAAAATGCTTTTGCAAACATCTTGGTAAAATTTAGTGCTATTAAAAAGCAGTGTTTTCCTGCAACCAGGTCAAGGAAGCTAGTTAGGAGCTAAGTTCCTGTCAGCAGCAACAACTTGTCTTACTTTCGAAACAGTGATGATCCTGGGGAGGTGTCAAAAGCCCCTTCCTGGGGCCCGGGGCAGGCTAGGGGGTTGACATCTGAAATATGCTCCAAGCCTTGGATGGAAGATGGAATGCAAATGCCAAGTGGACAAGGGGAAGTTGATAGCATCTTTCCTGGTGTATGGTCTCCCAAAGAACTACCAGAATTAATTAAATCATGTAAAAGAGGAGCCCAAAAAGCTTGATGGGACTGTGAGCAGCACTGAGGGTCAGGAGAACAGCGACTCTCCTGTCTCCCACCTCTACTGCTAACTTGGTGTCGTCAGTCAAGTCTCTTCCTCTTGGGCTCAGAGTCCCCGCATACAGCGGCACTGGGCTCCCCTGGTCCAACACAGAGCTTGTCCAACTCTCACGTACACACGAATCACTCAGGTTAAAATGCAGATTCGATTCAGGAGGTCTGGGTGGGGCCTGAGATTCTGCATCTGTAGTAAGCTCACAGGGTTGCTGATGCTGGTCCCCTCCCCAACCCCTGCCCAGGTCTGTTAGATGAGAGTCAAATCTGGGTGAGTCACATGCACAACAGATTTGGGAAGTTTAAATATCCACGACATCTGAGCCCTCTTCCAGAGAGTGTGCCTTGGGGTCTGGGGTGTGACCTCAGCACCTCATCTTTAAAAGTCCCAGGTGATTCAAATGCGTAGCAAAGTCTGAGACCCACTGGACTTGAGCAGTGCTTTGAAAACCTGGGGTGTCAGAATCCTCTGGAGAGCTAAGAAAGAATGCAGAGGCCCAGGGTCATTGACGTGTGATGGAGCCAGGCTTTGGTGGTGTTAAGTTCCTGGGTGATTCTGATACCAGCCAAGGCTTAGGAACTGCTGGCAGAGGTGGGCCTGCCCATGGTGGGCTGGGTGCGTGGAGATCGGTGCACAGGTGCACTGCCGTTATCCATCCTCTCAGCCCCCTGGGTTGGGGAAGGTGGTTGGGCAGCCAGAGTTGGTGCAACCAGTTGTCTTGGCTGCTCTGTTCACCCCACTGTGTGATGAAAAAGTATGAGAAGAACTGTTGCATTAAAAAAACAAAAACAAAACCTGGGGTGTTCCTGGATCAATCATTTTGAGAAATGCAGGGTTAAGTAAACAGGTTTCTTCACTGCATGACTCCTCAGAGTCTTTAATATACTAATGTGCACTATGGCCTTCTGAACGAGGAGCAAAATAATGGCCATTTCTCAAACTCCTATGACCAGGGAACACTTTTTCTTGGAGCTGGTCAAGAGAATTTGTTGCACAAAGCCTTAGACCTCTTTCTGAGATAGGATGTGTATATGTACCAAATATCTAAGCTACTTAAAGCAAATATCAACATCACCTCTGTGTTTTTCTGGTTCTTTCCCAGCTTTCCTCATCTCATTTGCAGCATTTATTGCAAGACATTTGCTGGGACTGTGATGTGGACACGCACTCAGAGGAACGTCTGCCTTTCTTTAAGAATGAAGATAGTGAGAGTAGAGAGCATTGGTTCTGCTGGGCACATCTGATTTGAGAACAAAGATTAGATAACTAAGCAGAAGTCGGGGCATGAAGAGGTCTTTGGGTGGATCTGGCTGTTTTGGCAGATGTGGGATGGCATTGGAGGTGAGGGAGGAGTTCTGGAGCTGTTTTGTTTCCCCCCTCCCCTGGGGTTTCATATGTGTCCAAAAGGATGGGCGGGGAGGACTCCTGAAGCTGGACTTTCAAGTCACCTTCCTAGGAGGCAGGGATTAGGCTCTGCCCCTGCAGGCCGGTACTTGCCCCCTTCAGCAGCCTCCTCTCTAGGACTTGTCTGTCTGTCTGTCTGTCTCCCTCCCTTTGGAAGATGGGGGGGACCTGCTGCACCCTCCTCAGCTTCATTTAGGACTCCCCCAGGCCCCCACAGTTGGATAAGACCAACCAGCAGTTGAGATCCTGTGCCATTTGAAAAACCAGTGACTTGAAAACAGAATGAAATGGTTTTCAAGAGCATTATTAGCAAAGTGAAAAGATCAAAAAAGCTTTGATCTTGCACGAGGCACAAGGTACTACGTCATGCATTTTCCCCCAAAGTTCAAGCCAAAATGAATTTGGATTCCACTCTAGCTCCGGGGGCAAACAGGACTATCAACCCATTGCTGTCCGGCTTTTGTTTTTGCTCCAAGTTCATTGGGATCCTGGGAGGTAGATGCTGCAGGGCAGGATGCTCAAAAACCCTTGGGGAATGAGCCCCTTGTCCCTGACGGGGCTGTTTGTCTCTCTATGGAGAGTCCCCAGCTCTAAAGAGATCTTTCAAGTCATCTGATCGAGTCTCTTCTGTGCTAAATGTCCTTTGGTTAGAATCAGATTATTTCTATTTTTATTTTATTTATTTATTTTTGTGTGTGTGTGAGGAAGACTGGGCCTGGGCTAACATCTGTGCCCATTTCCTCCACTTTATATGGGACGCCACCACAGCATGGCTTGACAAGTGGGGCACGGGCGCCCGGGATCTGAACCGGCGAACCCCGGGCCACCACAGCGGAGCGCGCACACTTAACCACTTGCGCCACCGGGCTGGCCCCTAGATTATTTCTAATATGTGTAAGAATAATAGGCATCAACATGTTAACCACAGTTATCTCTGGGGAAAGGTGTTATAATCAGTCTTTATTTCTTTGCTGTAATTTTCTCTATCTTCACATTTTTCTATAACGGAACTATTTTTTTTTAATAAGAAAGAACTTTATGTTGAGCAGAGGTCTGGCTGGAGCTGGGACGGCTAGCGGGGTGCGGCACGCAGGTCGTGGGGGAGGCCCAGGGTGGCCGGTGGCCTGTGGCCTGTGGCCTCAAGATGTTCAGATTGGGGGCTTCTCCTTCTGCTTTTAGCTCACCATCTCCCCTGTGGTCTGACACGAGAGTCCCCAGGCTCACAGAGACAGCTGGTGTGCGTGAGGAGAGGGCACTGTGGGAGCTGGGACGGTCTGGGGGACACGGGGCTTCTGCCACTCTTGTTGATCCATCTCTGGTTGTGCTTTCAGGTGACCCTCAAAGCACGAGCCCTGAATCAGCCTCTCGTCTGAAGACTGTCAGTTGCTGCTGCTGCTGCCAGCCTGTCCCCTGCCCCGGCCTGTCACTGTGCTGCCTCGCAGCAGGTGAGGAAGTGACGTATCCTGTCCAAGAGTGGGTTCTCTCTGAAGAGCAGGTGTCTCGGCCAGCAGTGCCTGTGTGGGCCTGGAGAGGGGCTGGGCTGTCAGGATCCTTGATGTGTGACCAGGTCCTCACACCATCACTTTCTTCTTCTAGCAGTTGTCACCGTCCTGTCCCCCTTTCCCACCCTCCATAGCAGATGTAGGGCCCTTATGAGGTCTATTTTACAAATTACCCACCACCTCACATTATCCCCCATGTGAGTGGATGTACTTCCCTTCTGGGGAATCAGGGTGGGGAGAACCGAGCCATCTCCATGGGCTGCTGGACCTTGGCTGGAAAACCAAGCTGTGTACTCCCCATTAGAAAAAGAGATGTTATTCAGGCAAGCATCCTTGTTCAGCAACTCACTGTGACAAAGAGGAAGGGGAGTCAACAACACCCCTAGCCCACTCTCACCCTGCAGTCTAAGCTGTTGGTCCCTTCAGGCCAGGGGTCTGTGCTCACTGGCAGTAGCTGTCTTTTAGGCATTCTCCAGGGAGACGGACTGCAGCATTCTGCCAACTGGTAGTTATCAACAGCTCATGGAGATAAGTCACATTAGGGAGGACAGCTGAAAAGGCACAATGACATCCATGCATCCAGAAATTCTAAACACTATGTGCTGACTCATGTCAGATCAGCAGCCCTGGGGATTGAACCACCTTGCACATGCCCCACCCCCGACTCTTGAGGTGACTGAGTTCTGCACCACAAGATGCAGCCCGTCAGAACCTCCCTGTGAAACCTGTCTGTGCATGAGTGCATTCTTGTGTGCCTAAGAAGAAAGAGCTGTCTGACCACGGCGGTGACAGAGCCCATTCCCTGAGCAGTTGTATCATTTTCTCTTCTTCCTCGTCTTCTAAGAGGCCAAGAGTCAAGGTAGAGCTCCACCATAGCTAGTGTGCATATTTAGCTTCATTCCATCTCTGCTTAGTCCCTACCTCCTTTCTTCTTCTTGGGTCAAGGTGGGGTATACATACAGACATACGTATATGGAGACAGACATTCATCAGTTCATGTAGAAGTATGGCATCTGGATAGTCTTGAAAGGGCAGAGATGTTGTTCAAGTAGAACCTAAGAGGAGCCTGGCCAGGTGGGGGAGGGAGGGCCTCAGAAACCTTCCCATGGGGTCAGATCTTTAAAAGACTTGAATTTCTTTAGCTCCAGTTGGCAAAAGCCATTATCTTCTCCTGGGTTATCTTGCCTCCTACGGAAGGTGGCCCCTCCCTGCCATCTCACTCCCAAGTCAGGCAAGGTTAGGAGCACTCGAGAAGTGAGCCTGTCCTGGGAGAGCAGGATAGACCAAGTGCATGGGATAAAATCCTACTCCTGCCCCAAGGGCCCCACCAGGCCAAGGAGGGGTGACAAGCTGGGAGCAGCGTCAGGGAAATGCTTCCTTCCGCTGCCACTAGAGAGCTCTACGAAGCTAAGTTATTTAACCACCATGAATATATTTCCACATTTGAAAAATAAGAGGATTCGACCTGGACTCTAGGTTCCCTACCAATATTAACATTCGGTGATTCACAGCTTAGCTACTCAAAGCGTGGTCCACGGACCAGCAGCAACTGGGAGCTTGTTAGAAATGCAGAATCTTGGACCATACCCCAACCCACTCAATCAAAATCTGCATTTTATCAAGATCCCCAGGGATTCACATGCCCATTAAATTTTTAAAAGGACTGATTGCGAGAGTCCTGAAGGTACGTGGAACACTTTGCAAGGCAGTTGGCGGACACAAAGGAACCATAGAGTAGAAACGATTTACAGCCATGGTGGTTCTCCACCTCCAGTAGCGCCAGGATCACCTCGGGAGGTTGTGAAATACAGATGTTTCAGGTCTGCGGGGTCACAGTCTGGGTCCCGGATATGTGTGCTGTGAAAAACTTTACTGGCCGCTTGGAGAGAGAGCGTGAACATGCACACATGAAATAGCTTGCGGGTCACTGATGGCAACAAGAGGAATGTGCTCTAAATGGGGCCAGGGTGAGCAGAGAGCAGCAGGGCAGGGGAGGCGAGGGGTAGCAGGCTCTTCTCCCATGGACGGGGGAGAGTGCTTTCCATCCTTATGTTTGGCATCTCCGCATTTCGTTACTTAGGGGCCCTTTATGGGCATCTGTAGTTACCTCCCCACCCCCTCTTGAGGAAGAGAGGAAATTGGGGGGATGGGATGGCTTTCTCTTTTGTCGTTGCTGTTTGTTTCAAGGCGATGAAAAAGACATGAATATATTTTTATATGCTTAGGAGAAGGCACCCAGAGACACTGATGTTACAGGAGAAAGAGGGGTGAGGGGTGGGGCAGAGCCCTCGAGGAGGGCACGTGTCCACCTCATGTGAAGTTAGCCATGGATGAGGAGATGCTTTCAGCAGCAAGTGATAGGCAACCCAACAAACGTGGCCTAAACCGTGAGGAATATATTCTCTGAGTATCGAGGATCAGAAGTAGACCATCCAGGATCCACCCAGCTCAGGGCTCTGGGTTGGTTTCTGCGTGAGTCTCCTGGGTCAGTTCCCCAATGGTCAGTATGGCAACACTCAATCAAGGCAGCCGAAGACGGAGGTTTCTCCTCTCGTGCCTGGGCTAGGAAGAAAGACCTTCCCTACAAGTCTCCCGCAGACTTCCCCTCGTGCCCCGTTGATTAGGACAAGCTCACATGCTCCGGGCCCACTGCAAGGGAGGCGGGAAAGTGAGTGTGGCATTTTCAGTCCCTGCAGCGGAAGGTGGGCCCTGCTGGCAGGGACAACAGGTGAGGGGGCCGCTGTGGGGTGCCAGCAGCAGGCCCTGGTGCAGAGGAACGGCTGCTGCACTGAATGGAGGCGAGGATGCATGTAGACGCAGAGGAGCTTAAAGGGGGGTGTTAAGGAGGTTTGTCTTAATGGCCTTTTCTCTGTTCAGTGCAAGCTGAGGTCATCTACTGAAGATGAGAGGACAAAGGGGGTGAGGAAATGATGAAGACTGGAACGTCAGGAGGGCAAAGGGAGGGATGATTGGGGACCGGAGGTGAGATTGCCAGGCAGCTTTGAGGACCCCTAAGGCTGGATTGTGAATGTCTGATGGCACCAGTCCCCAGCATTTGGCGGGCGGGGGCAGGCGGGTGTTTCTCCAGCAGCGCTTAGCAGCCCTTTAGTGTGGACAGAGAGGGGAAGGAGTTGGGTTGATACAGTGTGGGGTTTCAGGAACAGAGGAAAGAAGACAAGTTTGGGGAGAGAGTGATGGCAATGTTGGGTCATGTCGTTTAGGCTGACTGTGGAGCTGAATGGAGCTAGGCAAGGCTGTAATTTAGGAGACAGCCGTGGAGGGACATGGTGCTTTGAGGTGGAAGAGGAGTCAGGGAGTGAGAGAGGAAGAGAGGATGTGGTCAGAGGATGATGCTGGAGCCCAGGAGCACAGCCCTCTTGGCTGGCGGTGGCAGACGTGGTCTAGAGCGGGGACACAGGTGGCGAGACCAAGGAGACGAGGGGCTAACAGGGAGGACGTGGGAGGGATGAGAGTCTGTGAGAGGAAGACAACCTCACTCCTGGTGCTGGAGCCCCCCAGAGGGTGGGGGCCCCACCCCATCAGCTTGTTTTATCTCCTGAACACAAAAAGGAAAACATAGCTCAGCCAGCGGGATCTTTTTCAGATATTAAGCATTCAGCCAGAGTTCTCTTTCTGTGTCACGGACTGGAGTATGGTGCAAACGTACCCTTCTTTGTGAACAGGGGGAGAACGAGTAAACAGCTGAGTAGGATCAGGGTGTTCTAAATACAGCACCGCCGGGTGGTGAGAGAGGGAGGGGGCAGGTCTCGGGGTGCGGGGCGCTGACGAGGCTCTCATCCTGCTGGTAACATTTTCTCTGCACTCACAGCCACACCTATTTTCACTCGCACACTCTCACATGCACTCATACACTCACACACCCTCTCACACTCACACATACTCACACCTACTCACACTCAACCCTCTCATACACATGCCCACGGCCACTCACATACACTCACCCCCCCCAGGTACTCTCTCACACACACTTATGCACTTACACACGCTCACACTCATAGACACACTGACATCCACACACACACAGTGCAGAGCCCTTCTCCTCCCCCTTTGCCTTCACCTGTGTCGTGCTTTGTTCACGCCTGCTGATCCTGGGCTCAGCTTCCTTCTCCTTGTCCCCCCCAACCTCCCCAACTCTTAAAATGCCAAAGTCAATGAGGGAAGACAAGGATGGATTCTGGAATGGGAGGAGAGGATCAGGATCTGAGGGCAATGATTAGGGTCCTTTTTCACTTGCATCAGGCTGGGGAGGGTTGGGAACTAGACTGTCTCCTCTCCCCTTTTGTGTGGACACACAGGGACACAGAGGGACAGCCACACAGACTGGTGCAGGGCATGCACCATGGACATGCAGGCACACACAGACCTGAACACACATGCAGAAATGCAAGCGCATCTCTATGTAGTAGGGGTAGTGGCTGTGCCCTCAGGTTTTCAAGCCCTAGGATTCTCTTTCTCTTCTTGCTGAGTAAAAGTTCCCCACCAAGGTAGGGACACACACCTGTTAAACTCTGATTTAGGTGGCTGATCTATGTCTTATAAGAGGAAACTTTTATTTTTTAAAAAGTTCCCTGTGGACAAATGAAGCCACCATCATGCCTCGTCTGGGCCAGAGAGTTAGCGCGTGTGTGAAGAAATCCACGGTGTGGCCTCGCACACCAAGATACCAGCTGAACCTCCTAACACCTCTCTGTGCATCATTGGAAGCTATGTGACTGTGCTCAGCTCTCAGGCTTGAATGATTAGGCCTCGTCCGAGTAGTTTCTCATCAGATGGAGTAATTGTAATCTACAGTATATGCTTTCTTGTGGAACGGTTAGCATTACAGTGGTCTTTTCATTGTCATGTGGCGTATTACATGGCAGGTCAGGGAGAATTTTGTCCCCCTTCTAGAAAAACAAATCTATGCTTGGGATAGGGGTGTGTGTTTGTGTTATGGTTTAAAAACAAACTCCCAACATAAAATTTGTAAACTTTTTAGAATGACAGCCAACTAAAATTAATAATAAAGCAATTTTATTCATGGGAAATGCGTGCTTAGAGCTGTGGATTGCTAGGGGAGGCCCTATGAGACAGCAGAGAGAACCCTTAGCTAGGCTTCAAAGCTTTTAGTTTGGGTTCAAGAGCCACAAATTTTGGCTATGGAAACTTTGGCTATTGGCTTAATTTCTCTGAGTTTAGTACTTTCTTTACTTACTAAACAAAACTTAATGTTTTGCCAACTTTATGGGCTGCTAGAGGAATGAATGAGCAAATGTGTATGAACTGATTTATTGCTAACGAAGCACTATACACATGTTGAGGTATTGCTTATGGTCGTGGGGGTGGTAAAGTAACTCTGGGACCATCTGTTACCTTCTACTCCCTCTGCCTGGGCTGAGAAAGTCTTTCCAGTCACTCCCATCATTAGTGAAGCGTTCCTTTCTCTTATCCAAGGAAAGTTTGCTCCCAAATGCCCCCTGGCTTGGACAGAGAAGCTGTAGGCGGTGGGAGCAGGGAGGAAGTCGAGGAGGGCTCTGCCTTTCTTTGGAAAAGGAGCACTTGCAACCCTTTACCTTTGGTTGTTTCAGGGGCAGCGGAATGAAAGAGGGCATGTCCAATAACAGCACCACTAGCATCTCCCAAGCCAGGAAGGCTGTGGAGCAGCTGAAGATGGAGGCCTGTATGGACAGGGTGAAGGTAAGCACCACAAGCCAGCCTTACCCTCTGACCAAAACCCAGCTCGGAACATTCCTCCCCTTTCCAAAGCAGCCTGGGGAGAGTTAATACGTCACCCAACAGAGCATCCAGCCAACCTTGGTGGCTGTAACATTTACAAATGAGTGTTTGCTTCAGAGTCCCGAGTGTGCCTAAGGATTCGAATGATGCAAAATACACAGTGTGCATGAATTCCGTAAGGAGTCTCCAAAAATAGACTCATTTTCGTCTCAGCTCTATTTAGCTCCGTTGTCATGCCAATAAGCGAGAAAGAATTTAACAATGAGATCAATCATAGTTTTTCTGCCTGATCCAGTGACTTTGAGGTTAGACAATATCAGATATTTTGACAGGGGTGCTGTTGGGAGTGAAGCGTTGAACCGTGCACCATGTTTGTCAAATGTTCCTTTGGGGAAAGTGAAAAAAGGTGCCAGCCACCTCCCACTGTGTTCATTTCGCTGATGAGCGTAGATCTCTTCATGCTGGGAGAGCTGAAGCAAGATGAGGCCACCTCTTCTCCAGATGCCACTTAGAAGCAAGCAGGAGGCCAGGCAAAGCTTGTGGCTCTGAGATGCAGTCTGGGTTCACTGACTGTAATAGAGTTGGAACCCTGTCAGGAATCTGACACCAGGAAACTCAAGTCCAATGTGTCTGTGGTCTTTGGGGACACACAACCAGGGGTCTCTCCCAGGCATCTGGGATTCTAAAGCGACAGAATCCATAGGGCAATAGGCAACTCCTAAAGCCTTCTGTTGGCAGAGCGAGCAGTGCCTCCTTGAGGCTCCCATCACCGAGACCTCCCCTCATGCTAGAGTTATGGCCAGATGGCACCAGCCTCCATAAGGAGAGTTATTCCCTTCCCCTGGGGCTTTGGGGTACGAGCTATGCAAGGAGGCAGTAAACAAGCACAGAGAGTGACATGATGGTATATGAAGCAAGGAAGGAATACAGTACCATACAAAGTGGCATGAGTAGACCAGTATTTCTCGAGCATCTTCATCTTGCACATACTGAACCAACTACAGATTAAATATCAGTCCTTGATCTCTAGACTAGAGGAGGAAGCAAGAAAGCCAACAATTCTGAAACAGGGCGAGCCCTGATATATAGAAAAGGATTTAAGATTGAGTGCTGCAGACATTCAGAGCTCCAGTGGTTCAAAGACAGGACAGACATCTGCTGAGAGGATGAGGACTGGGGCGAGATTCGCTCTTTTCTTGAAAATCTCTGAGCACCCGCTCTGCACTAGGCGTGGTTCTGGGTTAGAAACACGAACGGAATGCTCCTCTCCATATTGCTCAGAGAAGACTTCTTGGAGCTGTGGGCTGGTTCTGAGGTGATATTGAAGGAGAAGGGAAGGCTAATGTACGCTAATCATGGCTCATGTCGAGCAGTCGAACCTGACAGAATAGCTGCCAGTTGTGCTGGGAAGACAGCTTTGGGGGGGTGCTGTGTACACAAGACAGATCATAAAAACGATTGGGTGTGAAGCCTAGGCCGGGAGGTGAACTGTCAGCAATAGATAAAGTCGTCAGAGGCCAGAAGGCAGTTGAAGCTGCAGAAGTAACCGGGAAAGGCAAAGAGGGGAAGAAAGCAGGTGTGGTGTGGAGCAGAGAGGAAAGGTGGAATTGGAGATGCAAATCCACCAAGAAATTTAGCAGAACTTAGAGGATATAAATGTGGGAGACACTAGGGAGAAAGAAGTTAGAATCCAACTGTCACGCTTCACGGCCAGAGGACTGGATAGACTGTGGGCACCAGTTTTGGCAATAGGACAGTTACCATGCTGGGGCGTTCTACTTTGACAAGGAAGGTAAATTCTGTAATAACAGATCCTCACTTACGACAATCACGACCCCAGGAGTCATTGTGGGGACCTGCTGTCTCCACAGATGAAGGGCTCTTCAGGAGTCACTAAGGGCACATGCATCTCCTCTAAAAGAAAGAGGAGAAATCGTAAGCCAACTCAAAGCAAGTTCATTACTCAGATAGTATTCAGAGGGATAGGTGGTCCTGTTCCTGTGGTGACTGTTTTACGGAGATGTGGCTCCTTGATCCCGGGAGAGGGCCTCCTGGAGGCGTCTTCAGGCTCTGTGGTAATTCCAGGGAGCAGGCCAGTGACAGCCATGTCAGATTTGGTTAAGAGTTGGCAGAGTTTTGTCGTTAAAGAGATGATCCAGCGCTGCCTAAGGAGAGAGGTGGCCTTGAGGAACCGCATCCCTGCCGTAGCTGCACAGTCACACGGGTTTGGTTTTGTTTTTTTCCAGCTCATACAACCCTGTTTATTTATTTTATAAAAATTGTGGTAAGATACACATAACATATAAGTTACCATTATAACCATTTTTAAATTTACAATTCCATAGTGTTAAGTACATTGACAATATTGTGCAGCCATCACCACCATCCATCTCCAGAATTTTTTCATTATCCCAAACAGAAACTCTACCCATTAAACACTAACTCCCCATTCCCCCCTTCCCCAGACCCTGGCAATCTCTATTCTACTTTCTCTCTATGAATTTGACTATTCTAGTAACCTCATCCATATAAGTGGAATCATATAATATTTGTCCTTTTGTGTGTGGCTTATTTCACTTAGCATAGGTCTTCAAGGTTCACCCACATTGCAGCATGTGTCAGAATTTCATTCCTTTTTATGGCTGAATAATATTCCATTGTATGTATATACCACATTTTATTTATCCATTCATCTGTTGATGGACATTTCAGTTGTTTCCACCTTTTGGCTATTGTGAATAAGGCTGCTATGAACATTGGTATGAAGTGTTTGAGTCTCTGCTTTCAGTTCTTGGGAGTATATACCCAGAAGTGGAATTGCTGGATCATATAGTAATTCTGTGTTCAGCTTTTTGAGGAATCACCATACTGTTTTACATAGCAGCTGCAACAATTTACATTCCCCCCAGCAGTGCACAAAGGTTCCAGTTTCTCCACATCCTTGCCAATACTTATTATCCATTTATTTGATAACAGCCATCCTAATGGGTGTGAAGCTCACACATGGCTTTAAGCACTAGCCCCCCCTTACCTCAGGGCACAGTGGGGCTTTGGGAAAAAATCTACTTGATGCAGCTCTTGGCAAAAAAAGGGTGTGTGTTGATATCAATTAGCCAGACAATAAAACATAATGTGGAAAGAAAGGGAAGCCATCAAGGACACTCCAAACTGACCTTGTTAAGGGCCTTGATGAGGGAAGAAAGAGGAAAAGAGTCACCAGGGAGAGGAAGTGGCCTTTCCAGGGGGGGTGAGAAGTCACTGTAGGAGAGGAGGAAGGAAAAAGAGACCCTGGACGGTAAATGACAGAGGGAAGCCACATGGGAGGAGAAAAGGAACAGTTCATAGAGTTCACCGAACTCCTGCACACTGTGACGAGAATGCCAGGTCCACATGAAGGGAAAAAGGACAGGCTGAGTGCAAGGTGAGGATGCAGAAAAGGAGAGTGTGCAGTGCCTTTCACTGGGCCCTGGAGAGGGGAGAACAAGCTGGAGGGGAAACAGCTGGAGGAAGAAATAATTGCAATTATGAGTCCCACAGAGCTGGCTCCCCGGGGTGAGGCGTGACAGATCGGGACCCAGTGGACAGCCTGGGCTAGGGCAGGTGTCAGGCAGAAAACTGGAAAGGAGCCCCGTGGCCAGCGTGGTATGTAGCCGACTGCGAGCCCACCCCTGGGCTCCACAGTTTACCATGCTTGGAAGAGTGTCTAACGGGGAGGGAGGGAGGGAAAGGATGGCATTTGCGGCTCATGAGAATAAAGTGGAGGTCTGTTAAGGAGGAGAAAAGGGAAAAAATAACTCCATTAAGCAGTTGTTTGGATTGCAAAGATAAGAAAAAGTAGTAGTGTGAACTCAGAGAGGTTTGGGTAGTTCATGAAGGAAAAATGGAGCCGAAATATCCACTGTCATCTTGAGGTCCTATTTATCCCCCAAAAACATCATCTGCACAGAAGCACTGGTGCCGATGTAGCCTTTGTTCCAGAGTTTGTTGGGGACAAAGAAGGGATGCTTTCCACTACATAGCCTGCAGCCAGACCTCACACCCACACACAGTTGGGTGCAGAGACCCTCCCCCACACAACCTCAGCACCATTCTCGCCTCCTGCCTACCTTCATTCATTTAATGTTTGTCAAGTACCTTCCCCCCTCAGCTTCTCCCCAAGTTACTGCCCACCCTCTCCCCCAGCATCCGTTCGACTCTTCTCCATCCTGCCTAGAAGCTCATTAGGCCATTTCCCAATGAAGGTGAGGGCTCCTCTTTGAGAACCATATCAGCTGCTAAAACAAATGTAAATGTTCTCCATGTATCGTGAGCACAAGGAAGATTCAAGACAGAACCTGTATGGCCTCCCAAAAAGCCTGGAAAATAATACTCGGGTTCCTAAAAAAGAAATGAAGAGCACATAAAAGATAACTATTTTGGAAACTATTTTGGTCCTCAGGGAAAGAATACCATCGTAGTCTTACTCTTTTTTTCACCCATTAGAGGCTCAAGCAATATAAAATTCTATTGGGAAAGTACATATATGACATTGATCACCAAATAGGAAAAATTTGTTTAACCATTATGGCAGATACGAGCTGAGCAAAGTGTGAGAAGCTTAAGTGGAGAAAATGGTCTCTGGAGCCGGCCTGTGCAGCCTGAGGAAAGAGCTCAGCTGCGGAAAAGGTGTGGTCCCACAGGGGAGGCACAGAGGTCTTGAACAGGCCAGGACGCAGGCTCACAGGAGTGCTTCCGGGAGCTGCCTCTCCATTTGGCACCCCGCAGGGTGCCCTGGTTCCCCTGCCCCAGAGGAAAGGGGAACCCTGACACTGGGCCACTCCCATGGGCTGTGAGCTCTGGAAGTGGACAGACAGCCTTGAGCAAACCAGTAACTCTCGACCAGGGACCAGGAGACAGCTGACAGACTTGCCAAGGAAAATTGGCCGAGCAACATTATGCCCAGTCTCTCTCATTTGCCTTAC